TTGAATACTCTCCGTCTGCCCCTGTTAATCATTTAGTTCTTAAAATTAGTTTTGGTAAAGTAAGTAAAACACAATATAAGTATTCTAAGTGGTTCATAAGAACAGCAGAAATGCTCCTTTAAAATAAGCACTTTGCCCTCATTGTGAGTACACACTAATGGCAATACTTGTGATAAAAAAGAAGCAAAGAATTGTTCCAATATAAATACGATTTGTTCAGTTCTGTGGTCATCAGATGACTAAATGCAACTCTGTGTGACACAAATTTAATAGCCTTCAAACTTACTTCACATTATTTATGTTACTTTATGTTTTGGGCAAAACTTGTAATGTTCTCAGAGAATAGAGGATATCAATCAAGGTTTATAACCTCAACAGCTATGAACTGTGATGCTGCAGCAAATCCTCTTGACATTTTTGCAACGCCTCGTGAAAATGTCTGAATGAGGCATACATTTCAGGAGCGGTCTCCAGGGAGCTCTGTATTTTGGCCAGAAGCACTTTTCACATGCTTAATGAAACAAAAAAACAAAAATACAAGTTTTTCCGAAGATTCAGACTGGAGGCCGGGGGGAATACAACATGTGTGGGAACTGGCTACTCTAACTACAAAATGGGATACTTTCTGAATTTTATTATTTCTACTTTCTCTTGTCTTTTTTCTCCCATCACACGGCCTTTTCCAGTTGAGTACACATGATCTCTTGTCACTATAGCCAATAAACGTCTCATTAACATCATTGGTGCCTAAGATCAACATTCAGCAGACACAGCTCAAGTAGAGAGAATGACAATGATGTCTTTTTCCTCCCTTCCAATGTTGGAAACTTTTCTTCTACATGGTCCTCATTCTAACACTGACAAAGACTGGTGAAGCTTTCCCAACTGGCAAACTTCAGATAGTTTGTGCTGTGGACCCATGCCAATTTGTCATTGGCTGAAAGCTGTCCAAACTCTTGTTAATTGGGATCTGTAGAGACTACAGTTAAAGTACATTTCCATCCCGTCAGTTTGCACTGGACTGAAAGGTCCCAAAAGTTAAAAGGGCAGAATGTGATCTTGGAACACCACACAAACAGCCTGCAGTCGCGTTCCCTGTGGAACATTGTAATGTAAAAATAACGCATTTTCAAAAGTTTAAAGAGAACAGTTTCTTAAAGAAAATGGAACAGTTATAAATATCACTTCGACTTTCCCAGTACATGCTGGTATTCCCACTACCACAAAGTAAGGAAAGTAGGAATGGGGGGGTGGGGGGGGGGCACAATCACGTCTTTTCCCCTCCCAAGTTGATCTTTGGTTAATTAGATATTTGTCTGCCAGTTTAAGAACTGTCTAAGCAACCATTCTTAGGGCGAGAATTGGGACAGGTATCTGACCCTGCCCTGAAAGCATTTCTTGTTTGAGCCCTCAATGGCACAGCCTACAGCTTTCCTCCCACCCTCTCCCAGCTGATTGTAACTCTAGCAGGCCTTGGTGAGACCACATCTGGAGTACTCTAAGCAACTCTGGTCTCCTTATTTCTAAAATATATATTCAGTTGCTCAAGGTTGTGCAATTGGGGGTTTCTAGACTGCAGTTTGTAGGGAAGAACCAGGAAGACAGTTTGATCCTTAGCTTTGTTCCGTAGCACTCTTGCCTCTAAAGTCCGAGTTTTTTTGTTTCAAGACAGCTCGTAACCTAGACTGACACTCATTGCAGTGCTTGGGGAAAGCTGCATTGCATTGCCATCCTTCAAATGAAACATTAAATCGAGGTCCTGTCTACCCTGTTCAGGCGGATGTTAAAAGATCCCAGTAGCACGAATTCGAAAAAAAAAAGAGTTTCTCCTGATAAAAGTCCCCCGGATAAAATTGATCATTCACTGCATGGTTGTTTATGGGACATATGGGATAATGAGAAAAAATATGTTGAGTAGGCAAGCAGGACCTATTGCCTGAAACAATTACTAAAGTTGTGTGACAGAAAATGGTGTTGCGGGGGGATGGGGGGGATAGAAAATAGCTATTAAAAAAGACAAACAACTAGACAAGTTGTCAATGACAGCCTGGATTTAAGGTGAAAAAGGTGAGATCTGCCTCAAGAGATATTTTCTCAACCAAACACAAACAGTTGAAGTTCTCCCTCTTGTGGCACCAGCCTCTCCCTGATTGTGTAGATTAGAGACACTTTTTCTCCCATTACCAGCCTTTGCATAAATGTAAGTCGTTCTTGTTTTTGTTGTATGTATATCTCTTGCGATCGAGAAAGCTCTGGAAGCTGGAAAGGAAAGCTGCCGTGCAGAATCAATAAATCTTTTCTGGTTTTAGATCACTAGGGTTTATAGTGCGCATATGCTAAACTAGTGAGGTGCGGTCTTAATGGGAGATAAAAGGCACGGAGAACAAATACCACATTATCTTTCTTTATCTGTCTGCTTTTGCAATGTTTTTTTTGTTCAAACAGTGAATACCATCATCACGGAAACTGACTCAGAGAGTTACTGAAGCCAACTATGTCAGAGGAGGTCAATTAACACACAGCTGAAATGACAACATTTCTGAACCGCTTGTCCTCATGACTGTAATTACAGTGGAGTCCTGTTGCTCAGTGGTTAGAGCACTCGCTTTGCAAGCGAGACACCTGGGTTCAATTCCAGGCAGAGGGCGAAACCTTGGGCAAGTTTCCTTACACCACACAGAGCCTAATAATAATCCCTCCAAAACAAAACAATAATAAATTGGTCATTTTCAATCCACGACTGTTTGTGGGACATTGCTGTGCGCAATTGGCTGCCGCGTTCGTCCACAAATATACAGTCAATTCACTTTACAGTGTGTTCTGTGAAGCGCTTTGGGACGTCCTCCCGACGTGAAAAGCGCTATATCAAATGCAAGGCTTATTATTATTAGATGTTAACCCAAGTCGGCTGTGTTGTCTGATTCAAGGACTTCTCTAAACCAGCTTCCCACCCAGCACTCACTATTTATAGACGGTGCTTGCCAATTTCCCCTCCCTTTCTACCCTCCTCCTCTCCCAGAGAAGGTGACTCACATTTGGTATGGATCCTCAGCCCTCCAACACTTTTCTCAAATAGCCATTTTTCATGTCAAGACGGGTCAGTAAGTGTTATGGGGGTGTAAAGGTTGAGCTTGAGCTCTGCTCACCCAATAGCCACACATGCATTGGGTTCACTTCCAGCCGGGGGAAGGGATAACAAGTGACTGTTTACCATCTTATTGCTGTAAAGGGAGGATGGTGGGGTGGATCCTATTCTAGAACGATGAGATCAAATGGGCTGAATGAGTTTTTTCACCCGAACCTCTCTTGCAGTCTTGTGCAAGAGTGAATGTATATTCGCCCACAAATATACAATCAATTCACTTTACAGTATATTCTGTGAAGCGCTTTGAGGCATCGAGAAGATGTGATAAGGCGCTATATCAAATGCAAGGATTATTATTTTTATTCTTGTGATTTGCGCCTCCTGGTGGTTGCTTACAGACTGACATCAGCAGAGCCAACCAGGTGAATGCAATAAAATCTGCAACAGAATCTATAGAGGGTAAAACAGTTAAAAAAATTTTTTTAAAATTGCTTACAACATTCAATTGAATCTGGAAAAGTTTTCCAATTCAGCTGGCGTTTCATGCAGATGCAGAGCAGTAATATTTGTGTAATATAACGGTACAACATGATTTACCTAGTCATTACTGACAGTCTGATCAGCACGTATGCTCCTAAAAGGGTTGTCTTCAATTTACGATCGCAGATCAAACCAACGCATGCATCCGCCAACGCAATGATGTCAAAGGAAACAGTAGCAATTGAATGAGGGAAACATTTGGTGCACTGCAGAAGTGCTGGTTCCATTGAAAGGCGTCTAGTGTATTATGATCGTTCTTTTTATAGAGGAAATCCTGTCATAGTGACCGAATGGAAGCATTTTATTAATGAGCACTATATCAATCTCCTTGGAAACTGCTTTAAAGTTTGAACAGTTCAAGCAGCCACACACTGATTGGAGTGCACGACTAAAAGAAACAAAAAATAAAAACAGAAGTCGCTGGGAAACCTCAGCAGGTCAGGCTGGAGAGCTCTCTGGAGAGAGGAAAGTGAGTTAACGTTTCAGGTTGATGATCTTTAATCAGAACGTTAACTCACTAAAAGGAAGCTTGTTTCAATGGAATGATTCAAAGTTAAATTCAGAACACCTGAATTTACACATGGTACATTTATGATGTAAAAGCAAGATCACTAAAAGATATAAATAAAAGGGCAAGTTTCCTTACTCCACACGCCTGATAATAATCTCTCAAGAAAAAAATAAAAATAAATTGGCCGCTTCAATCCAGGACCGTTTGTGGGACGCTGCTGTGCGCAATTGGCTGCCGCGTTTCGCCCACAAATATACAATCAATTCACTTTACAGTATATTCTGTGAAGTACATTGAGGCGTCCAGAAGACGTGCAAAGCGCTATATCAAATGCAAGGATTATTAATATTATATTATTATTATAAAAGATCCAGAAAAGTTTTTTTTAAGTGTTTTTTTTAAGTTCTAGTTTCCTCAGTACATATCTGTTTCTGGGGAAAGTCTCTGGAATTTGATTTATAAAATAAAACCTGTGTCCAGTTTGGATATCTCAATGTATAGACAGACATCAATTTCGAGGAATGTGTGCGTATTATGCACGTGGTTTTGTGTGTGTGGGGTTACCAGTGAAGGAATTTTCATATCATTATTTTTACACGACTTTTGAATTCCTTATTTTTCTTCAAGGCATGTGTGGTAGAGAGCTCATTACATGAGGGAGGAAAGAAGATTGAGAAGTTGGCAGAGACAGACATTTTTTTCCAACATACCATTTCAGTAAAGTGCTCTGATATACAGAAAGTAGTTTCACAAGTCAGCCCGAAACATTATATTTTCATGTTGATTCATGTTCAGACCAAACTGAAGTTCCCAATCTGAACAGACAGTCACTGCAGTTACGGCACTAATCTGTACAGTACTCACCATTCTTTCTCTCGTTCAAGGGAGGTAGGTTTTGGTTGGTCTGCAATGATAGCTCTTCAAACTCGCAGGCAACTACTTCGCTTTGAGGGCTTGGGGTGATGAAGCATCGTAAGTGTGAGTCCTCTTTGCTGAAAACTGCTAGGTGATCATTCAGACTAACCAAGATGGCAGGAGGCATCCCATGATCCATGTTGACTCACACAGAGAGTGGATTGCACTGAGGATGTAAGAATTGTTTCTGGTTTAGATCATTACTATTTCAAGCAAAATAGTTCAAAACATTTAATGATGTGTTTCTGTCACAATCTTTGTTTCTTGGACAAATGTAAACTTGCATGCTGACATAGCTTATCAGTTGTGCAGGATTAAGGGTCACTCCTCCAATGGCTAAATCTATTTATTTTCATTATTTGTGACATACTGAGGTTAAAGCGGAAGGAAAGTGTGAAGGGTTTATTTTTCGATCACAAACTAAAACACTTCAAAGTATTCCTGCAATACTATTCTGCACACTTCAAGAAATAGATCATCCAGAAATAGATTAGCACATAGCTTTTCTTCAGTTCTCCCAAATACAATAAATCCACATAAAAGAGCTCAACATTCCCCCCTCCAAGTCTTTGCTCTTTAAGCAATACTTGCTGGCAAGAGTTCTTGAGCATTAATGACTTGGAGATGTCAAAGTTCTAAATGTGAATAATATTCGCAAAATATTGATAAAATAAATATCGTTTTATCTACTACGGGGTAGTGGACTCCAATGGGATTTGCCAACGGATGCAGATTGCATTTAAAGGGAAAGAAAAATCCTGCGTGAATACTTTGAAGTAACTATAAACCTCAAGCTACATTTTACCATACTTAAAATAAACGATTGTACCTTTAAAAGAGAAATCCTGATATTTCGCAGAGCTCTCGCACCAGTCTCTTCTCTGCTAGTCTACTTTGGGGAGGTCACTGTTAGGTAGCTGACATGTAGCTCTGTTTACTTGTCCAGAGTCACCTGATCACGAGAAAAGCAGAGCATCAACCGGTATAACGTTACACCCACAATTATTGTGATACCCTGGCAACTTCCAGACTGACTCCCAAGCTAGTGCAAGATGAATATTCCACTGAAGTATATGGCGTCTATACGTGCAGCTCTTCTCTGGCAGTGATTTCACTTTGTCAACCAAGCAGAGCCAGCGGTGGTTCTCTGCAATTCTCAAAACTTCTCGTTAAAGGTACAATAATATTTCATAAGCATATTATTTTTTTTAATATAGTCCAGGGACATTGAATGGGAAAAACAACACCCCTCAAGTGCTTTCCTTCCTCTTTAACGTAACAATATCACAAGTAAGTAAAATAAATAGATATAATCAGTAAGTAAATTAAAATAACAGTGCTAATGTCAAAGACTGCAATATACAAGGAAAATATTAAACAGAGGAAGATTGGATCATTCCCCATTTAAACAATCCAAATAAAGATTTAAGAGTCTTTATGAGGACCTTTGATTTGATAAAACTAATGGAGCTGACTAGCAATCTAACTACATAGTAGTGACCCCAAACCTCATAGTATTATCTTACAGGCCAGACCACCTTTTGTTCCAGGAGTAATATTAGAAGGGAAATCAGGATTCCACTATTAAAATAACCCATTTAAAAAAATATTTCTTTCAAATTCTTGAATGCTTAACACAGTGTGTGCTACTCAAGATCAAATAGTAATTAATATTTCGCTAATTTTCTTCAATGTTGTTTCAATATTATCTTTGTCAAAAGTTTTTGCTCTCTGCTATCATAACTATTTAACCCTCACCCCTTATAGCACACTATAACCCCATTCATACAATGTCAAGTCAGCAACAGGGTTGCTATAATGAACTATTTAATACGCATTCTGTAGTACACCTGTATGATACTTTATTCGATTTGTACATTTATTCTATGGCACGTGGCACTTTATGTATAATAAATTCGTACCAAAATTAAAATGTCTTCTTAAATCTCAACGAGATGGAGCTCCAACAGGAAAAAAATGTTTTGCAAGTCCCAATAAGTTTGTCATTGTGAGGCTTGGCTGCTAAAAAGTTTTCAACATCAAAAGAGATGCTTGTATGAAGAAGACCCCCTTTTCAAATGTAAACTATGCACACACCCCGGGAAAGGACAGATACACACAGCGTTGTCCACTTATCTCTTTTCTGAGCAAAGGTTTTAGATTGTATCAGCAGTGAAAATATGGATCTGCAATGCACCTTAACAGCTAAAGGGTATCGAATACGGTATTACCAACTTTCTACGGAGCCTCTGACTTTCTACAGGCACTCGTTCAACAGCCGTCTCAATGTTAGGGAAGTTGAAAATACCACAGCTATGACATGTAAACAGTTTAATGACTTGTAACACTACTATGGTTCTGGACAAAATTTACAGTCGCCAACGAACAAACCTTTCAATAAATAAAAGTGCTTTGAATTTGCTTGCTTATTTCATATCTAAATATTGAACCCGAATAACACCTCTCTTGTGGAAATAAGGTAAAACAAGTATATGTACTTCTAGTTGCAAAATAACACTCGTCATTCTGAAGTATACATAATGTTTCTAATGAGCGTTTTCGAGGTCTGGCACTGAAGTAAAACAGGTGCAAGATGTAAGCCTGACTCTGCCAATAGATTTTACAGTGTTTAAATTTACTGTCAAAAGATTCTCAAGAGACTAGTATTTTCTTAGTAATGTAACTGTACAGATGGCATATAACAAAAAAAGAACAGATCTTCAATAATTATGGCTACTTCAGAAACAATGAAACATGACTTAAAGTCGCAAGGGATATACAATTGACACAATACAAAGAATTTATTGTTAAAAGGCACAAGGAGACTTTCCATAATCAGCCAGAATCACAATTGTTTTAAATCATCTTGCTTTGATTTAAGATAACATTTCTGCTCACTTATTTATCAGTCTGTTTGTGCAAGAGTGTATTAACTATTAGATACTTATTTGTTGTACCACATTATAAACAAGGACGGCATAAGGCTTCAGACCGTAACAGCTCACCTTCCCCCTCTTCTGTGACCATTACCACATCATTTAGGTCCCGGACACATCTTTTCTCTCTCTCCTCGGCCTGTTCTGTTGCATTTTCCCCCTTCCCTTTGTTTTCCATTATTAACACCTCTACTCTCCTGTTTTGTGCAACCTCCCCTTTTGTTTTGCATCATTAACCCATCATCCCCTATCCTCTACCCCATTTTCTCCTTTGTCTTCCTTGCCCTGCCTTCCCCCCTCTCTGTTAGCCCTTAAAAGCCTCTCCCTCCCAACGTGCCCCAGTTCTGTCGAAGGGTCATGGACCCCGAACATTGACTCACTTCCCCTTTCTCAATAGATGCTGCCTGACCTGCTGAGTGTTCGAGGCGACTTCTGTTTTTGTTTCAGATTTCCAGCATCTGCAGTATTTTGTGTTTTGTACATGGCTAAGGGGGTTGTTAGGGCAATGGATCAGCTGGTAGCACTCCCTCCTCTAAGTCGGAAGGTGTGGGTTCAAGCCCCACGTCAGGGCATTGATTGTATTGGAGTGTCATGGGTCCAATACAGTCCTGGAGGAATGCTGCTTAGTTGGAGGTGCCATCCTTTGGATCAGATGTTAAACCGAGATCCCATCTGCCTATTCAGGTGGACATTAAAGATCCAAAGAGAAGGGACTTTCTTCTGGTGTCCAAGGCACACATCCCTCAGAGAGAATTGTTCCCATACTGATTGTTGTTGTTGGCTGTTTGTGGAACACGACTGTGTGCAAATTGACTTCTGTGTTCTCCTATAAATACTTTGGGAGGTAAAAATCCTGTGCTTTGAGGTGTTTGACGACAACCCACAGCCTTCTGACTCAGAGGTGAGAGGGCTACCAACTGAGCCAGGATTTCACCGAGATATGTAAATATATGTATTTTCAGTTGAATAGTGGCGAGTCAGTTTCCAGAGACGGAAAGACCATCTAACTTGGAAAGTTTTCCTCGTTCTTTGAACCAGCTATCCTGTACGCATCCCTATATCATGTAAAGATAAGCAAAAAGGATAATGATTCATTGTAAACAGAACTCGGTGGCTTAATTTGAAGACTGCGCCAAGAAGATTCAGGCAGTAGCTTAGCCTTAGGGATGGCCTTTTTCATGTTTGACAAAATCCCTTTCCTCGTGCCATGTCAAGGTTAGATTGATCAACAATCTCAGTAAAGTCTTAAAATTTACCCTCAGCACACTGCCTGCTGTGTGGCCTGGGACGTCCTCCCGACGTGAAAGGCGCTCGATAAATGGAATCTTGTTGTTGTTGTTTCCTCTGAAGCTCAACCTTCACGTTACCACTGCTGTGTGGAATACTCCACCATCGATATAATCTTGGAGAAATCAGCCAGTTACCTGCATCAAAGAAACAGCATTCAGATTACAGTAATGCAAAAATGCGTAACTTGGACTTAAATGAGGCACAAATAGCAAAGCAAAATTTCCCCCATCCATGTTTTTGTTCCTTTTCGCTCCACTGCTCCAACAGGCACTGACTCATACTTTGCTACAATCCCACGTACACTGGAAATCATTCCATATATCACATCACAGTAAAACTAGATAGTGAGGTTTATTTTCCCCGTTATTTTTGTGAAATTCAACCAAATAAAATATTTTATTATTGAGGTTCAGTAAAATGGGGCTGTGCAATTTAGCTTTAACCACAAATGTTCTTTGGATGCTACTGTACTATTGGGTTAATGTGCATTGTACAGCGATCTAGTGTGTACTGCTTGTTAAAAACAGCGACATATTCTTCACATCTTTACAATGGGATTTCCAGTTAAAAAGAGACTTTGAAGAGTTTTTTTTTAAAAGCAAAAAGTGGTAAAATATTCCTCAAATGTCCATTTGAATTATTAGTCTAATAATAGGAATATAGGAAATAATATATATAATAATTGTAAGAAAACTAATATTTTGATTACAATTAGTTAATAATGCAAATTGGCTACAACTGTGTTTTGCTCTTGTTTAATCTACTGCTTGCTTTTATTGGCATTACATCTTGTGCCTGTTGCTGAATTGAAACTGAATAAGAAATATGCAATTTGATTTAATGAGACTTAAAAGAGCTAAGCAAAATTTCCCTCTTCACATTAGTGTTCCTTTGCGCTCCCATGTTTCTGCAAGCACTGACGCATACTTGGGTACAATCCCACATACAATGGAAATTGTTGAGTACATCACATCGCATGTAAATCTAGATAGTGAGTGTTGGAGGACTTTTTCACCACAGAGGTAGGAATTACAGCAGAGTCTTGACTCTATCCACATCAGATACACGCAGACAAACGTTTCAGGAACAGGAATCTTGACTGATTTTTCTCGACCTTACCCTGCAGTCACTCCAGATAATTGCGCAGGCCACCAACTTTAAGTGGTTAAAAATAAAATGTCTTTTTCTATGGGCTTCCAAAAGTACAAAAAGTACGTTTTTGTAACCGACATCTCAATCAAATGATAATGCTCACATCAAGAGGACTATACCTTCCTATCCATCTAGAAATCCATAGTCTTTGAATTTTTGGCTCTATCTTAATACAAGTGACTTAAAAAGATGTGTTTAAATCAGATTAAACATTGGGAAGAAGCAGCGCTCAACAGCGCTCAACAATTAAACTTAAGATGTCCTTTGAACCCAAAGAACTTCTGACCCCAACGTGCCATCAAGAAAGCACTAACAAAATGTAATGGCTCGAGGATTTAGTTCATGGCAATTTTTAAAAACCTATAATTTAAAAACGTATAGTATTTTAGACTTCTCACACTTCGAGCGAGTATCGACTCCCTATTATGTAACCATTGAACATACAAAAATTTCGGAAGAATGTAAGGTATGGAAACAGGCCACTTGGCCCAACCAATTCAGCCGGTATTTATATTCCATAGGAGTCTCCACCCATTCTTTGCTCCCTCCCATACCTTTCTATCCACCACTTCCTCTTGAATGCATCTACACAACTGGTTGCAACTAACTTGTTGAATTAACATGAGATACTCAGCTTCTTCATCAACAAACCCCACACCTATTTGTTTTCATGACTATAAAAAATAAAATGTGAATTTCATAAATTTGAAGAGCCTAGAATAAAGATTTTATTGTGATGTCTTCTCTACAACAAATAATTAGTAGCTGGTAGTAAACAACTCAAATCCAGTACATCTTTTGCCACAAAAGATCCAGTCAATCCACTTTACAATATAGCGCTTTGAGATGTTTAAACAATGTGATAAAGCACTATATCAAATGCAAGGATTATTACTATTATGACATTGTGCAAGTGCAGGACAACTGACCACAGTCCCGAATCCAAACAGTTATATGAACATTTTCTACCACTGTTTCTCTCTTTCCAAAGACAACTATTAATACCCTATAAAAGTGCTTCCTCAACTGTTCTACAGTAATTAGAGAACATTTTCAGATGACCAGAAGAAGCTACAGTATGTGTATGTGAGCTTTTTATAGGGCAGGGGAGTGTTGAGGTAGCATTCTGGGAAGGATGGAAATATTCTCCATGATTGGGATCACACATGCATTTCTGTATGAAGCTGGCCAGGTATAATAATGGTGTCTACGATACCATGAGTTGAGAATACGCCATTCTTCTTGAACCAAAATCATTATATCATATTAATTTCACTTTACTTAGAACCTGTACAAATGTTGAATTTAGTTGAGCAGTCTCCAGTGCTTTACAATGACGAGACCGTACAAGGGTCTGTTCAATAAAACAGCTGTGCAGAATTATTCATGCAGAATCTGGTGAACTATATACATTTTAATATGATTTATCTTCAATAACAATTACAAGGCCAGATACACCTCATCCAACCAAATGATAGCTCTGTGGGTATTGACAGTAATTGATAGTTTATGAACAAGACTTTGTTTGATCTCTAGCCTCTGTTTCAGTAGGACATCGTAGTAAGGTTACAGAAAAGAAGATGTGATGATTTTTAATGCATGAACCTAGAGAGTGAATTCTGCATACTACGTGGCTCGTAATATCCAAACACAATTAACCCAATCCCTTCTTCTTCAGCATCTACATTAACTATTGCTTTAAGCTATTTGATTTGCTAATGTGTCTTGTATCCTGCGTTAAATCTGGAACTTAATAGATGGGAATTTGTAGCTGTCATCTGGATAATGATCAGAAGCAGCAACCTTGATCAATTTCCTATCCTTCTATAATACAATGTACTGAAATTAATGACTCCTGACTCACTACCACCGAGTTAGGCTAACTCAGCAGCTATTATGGAGCAAAGCTCATCTGCAATTGTGTTCCCTCACTGAGCTATCGGGGGACAAAATCTTTTTTAAGCAATCTAAAGTTACAAACTTTTTTCAGAATAGCTTTTCTGCATGACTCATGGAATCAGCAGTTAACACTTCTGCCTGAAGAAATGCTGCTAACTACAAGTTAATTATGGTGTCCCGGCAAAGTTCAATTCATCAGTTCAATACATTCCTAAAAATAAGTTGAAACAAAGGATTGCTCCATTCTTTTGCAAATCTGCTGCTAATTTTGCCTTTACGTATTGAAGTACATACATCCTTTTATACAGTAAGCAAATCTGCTCATACATCAGCTTCTAATAAGATCCGTTTCCCTGCTCCTTCCTGTTGATTTCAATGGTACCATAAGCCATTTTAAAGCATTAATCTCCCATCTGCTAATTCTAAATACACAAGGGGAAAAAAGAAAAAAAAACTGATCAATCATTGATGCCAGGGAAAGAATACAAGTATAAATGCTGCCAAAGACAAGCTAGCATCCCGGATTTCAGTTATTTATCATGTTGCAGATGAAAAAAAAATATAGGCTGGTTAATAATCTCTGGGATGTAGATCCAAATCCAAATCAGACTGATGGCAAGACAGTCTCCTCTGACATCTGCACGGAGTTTCTGTAAGACCACAGAAGATAATTCAGCACTGACTAGGCTTACCATACTCAACTGGAGCACAGAAGTCACTGGTGCTGGAAATTGAAATGTTATTTAATGAAGAAGAAAATGGTGCTTATTTGAGTTCAGGGTTCAGCACATTGTTTGGGCAAAATAGATGAAACATTATCCAGCATCAAACCTGTGCTGTGCATGACCTGGGAGCCCAAGGCTGCTAAATCCAGGTAAAATACTCATTCCTTGATACCTCGCAGCTCGATAAGCAGAAAACAGTGCCAATCCTGAAATAAATAAACCTAATGGCTGTAAATAGCTTCCATGTTTTTAAGACGTATCCACTGCTCTATAAATACAAATTATATTTGCTTCTATTTGTATATATCGATCTCTTTAGGTTGGTATTTTTACAGATAGATTTCATTGCTATTATGTTTAGTCATTATCTCTGGTGGCAAAGTATTTTTCACAGCATTGTCGTATTCAGTGGGTAAGGTGACAAATACAACAACTTGCACTTATATATCGCCCTCCACGCAGGGTAGCATCTCAGAGCGCTTAACCTGAGTCTGAGTCTGAGCTGGGGGAGAGGTGGCCGTAAGCACGGTTGAAGAGGAAAGTTTTCAGGCGGGACTTGAAAAAGGGGAGAGAGGGGGCAAGGCAGAGGGATGGAGGGAGAGTGTTCCAGAATTTCGGGGCGTAGTGGCTGAAAGTGCGACCTCCGATCTTGGGGCGGAGGGTGCGAGGGACGAGTAGGAGGCCGGTGTCAGCCAAGTGGAGGGGTCGGGTGGTGGATTGGGGAGTGAGGAGGTCGGAGATGTAGGGAGGGGCCACAGAGTGAAGGGATTTGAGTGTGAGGATCCTGAAGTCGATCCGTTCGGTGATGGGGAGCCAGTGGATCCTGGGCCAGAACTGGTGAGATGGGGGTACAGAGTTTGGTCCGGGTCAGTATGTGGGCGGCAGAGATCTAAATGAGTTGAATCTTTTGAATGGTGGAGCTGCGGAGACCGGTGAGGAGTGAGTTGGAGTAACCCAATGGGGAGGTGACAAGCGCATGCACGAGGGTTTCGGCTGCATTTGTGGTAAGGTACGGTCAGAGGCGGGCAATGTGGCAGAGGTGGAAGAAGGCGGTCCTGGTCAGGGACCAGATGTGGGGGAGGAAGGACAGCTGGGGGTCAAACCAGACACCCAGGTTGCGCACCGGTTCTTTTGAATGGTGGAGTGAGGGGGAGCCCAGGGAGGTTGAGGAGTTTAGATCCGCAGGAGTGAAGATGTTGACGGGAGCCGAGGAGTATGGCTTCCGTCTTGTCCACACTCATCTGCAGGAAGTTTACAATCATACAGGCTTTGATGTCTGCCAGACAAGCTGATAGAAACCACTTCCTGAGATGAAACGGAGGCAGTTTGTTAAGTAGGATCCGAACCAT